CTCACAGATGGTGTTATGAGGGACCTCACGTGGTGTAGTAATTACCTCACAGACGGTGTTATGAAGGACCTCACGTGGTGTAGTAATTACCTCACAGATGGTGTTATGAGGGGCCTCACGTGGTGTAGTAACTCCCTCACAGATGGTGTTATGAGGGGCATCACGTGGTGTAGTAATTCCCTCACAGATGGTGTTATGAGGGGCCTGACGTGGTGTAGTAAATCCCTCACAGATGGTGTTATGAGGGACCTCACGTGGTGTAGTAATTCCCTCACAGATGGTGTGATGAGGGACTTGACGTGGTGTAGTAATTCCCTCACATATGGTGTTATGAGGGACATGTGGTGTGTGTGTGTGTGTGTGTGTGTGTGTATGTGTAGAGGAGACGTGTGTGTGTGTGTGTGTGTGTGTGTGTGTGTGTAGAGGAGACGTGTGTGGTTAAGTGTGTGTACAGGAGGGAGGGAGGTATAGGGAGGTAAGAGGTTTGGTAGGGAGGGAGGTAGGGTGGTAAAAGTTGAGGCAGGATGGTAGGAAGGGAGGTAGGATGAGAGGGAGGGAGGTTGGGTGGTAGGAAGCGAGGTAGGAAGTGAGGTAGGGGTGAGAGGGAATTAGGTAGGTTGAGAGGGAGGGAGCTATATAGACAAGGCCTAGTTATAACTGCCAAGAACTACTCCACGTACTACGGGAGAAAATGAGATAATGTTGAAGCGATTAAGAGAGAGGGGGGTGGGGGATAAGTTAGGGGGAGAGCAAAGGGGGAGGGATGTAGATAAGGTAGATACCACGGAGAGAGAGAGGGGGTGGACATCCCTAGTACAGTATCATAGGACATCCCTTCTCCCCCCTCTCTCCCCCTCCCTTCTCCCCTTTCTCTCCCCCTCTCCCATACCCTTCCCCCTCCTCCTCGTCCCCTTCATATGCAAGTTGCTTATCACACATTTTTCGCTTGTGAATACGCTCAAGTGCCATCTTGATGTGTGAGAGTGAGCGCCCACCATCTTGAATGCATTTTAGAGAGAGAGAGAGTACGGTAGTTACTCAAAACAAAAACGTAACACAACAAGACTCTCTCTCTCTCTCTCTCTCTCTCTCTCTCTCTCTCTCTGTTCCATACGAAAAATAGATCTTGACTTGTGCCCTCGTCCTCCGCCAGTTCGAAATATGAGTTAGGTAATAGTTGGTCTGGGAAGGATGACCACAGGGCCTGAATCACCCACCTTTTGTCCGTGTGTTTCTAGGACCGGGCAGTGTGGGCTGGGAAGTACAATACCGTCCCCTTGAGTACGATGTCAGTCCCTTGAGTACAATGCAAACCCCTTAGGTTTTGTATCATCGTAATCAAAAGGTCAAGACGCCGTACAGGAATGATGAAGTTATTGATCTAAGTCACATAACACAGTACTGTGTTTCCATGCCAGTTAGGTGAATGTTGAGTGTATCAGTTAATGGCTGAAGACTTACTTCGGGAAATCCTGAAGAAAAGTTTTCCTCGTGCATGACAAAACAAACATCTGAAAGGCCTCCTCCTTCACACACACACAAGAGGGACAAGTTTGGTAGTTGAGACAAGGGACAGAGAAAAATAGTGAGAGGAAGGTGTCATTATCTTTCTTAGTCCGTGTCCAGCCATCTGGTTACCACATAGTACAGTACATATTCAGCTGCATGCCTCCTCTCTCTCTCTCTCTCTCTCCCTCTTTCTCTCTCTCTACATTTCTACCTTCCACTCTTCCTTCTCTCCCGTTCTCCTGCCACTTCTCTTTCTCTCACTTCTTTCACCCCTTTCCTCATTTCCTCAGTCGGTGTTCTTAGTAAAGTCATAGTTCACCCACAACTTGCCTCTTCCAAGAAAGCGTGAGACATTGTACTTGGCGCCAGCGAGGTGGTGGTGGTGGTGAGAAGGTACTGGTGGTTGGCCAGGAAAAGTGGTGATGGTGTTGGTGGCAGTGTTGTTGTGCGTGGTTTTATATTTTATCCATCCATCTCTCTCTCTCTCTCTCTCTCTCTCTCTCTCTCTCTCTCTCTCTCTCTCTATCATCCATCTCTTCTTCATGACCAATGCACTAACAGTACACAGACGAGTTCCTTTTATCACCGCTCAACACCAATAGGTAGTTGGCAGTACAAGACATTTCCTGGTCCTGTACTGTTCAATAATTAAGCTTGTATCTATGTCCTGTTGCCGGATACACCCCGCTAATGAGACCAATAATCCTCTTGATAATTAATTAATGTCTCCCGCATTATTCTTGTTCTTTGGTGTATGACAATTGCTGGGTGTTTAATGAAGGCTGGGTGTTTCACGATGGCTGGGTGATATTGATTAATGGTCTATGTATTGCACTGTATATATACCTGTACTTCCTGTATACATCTTGAAATGTATACCACCTTATTTCACCTGAGGATTTGACCTCCAGCTTATTTCACTTGAAAGTTAACTACCCTAACCTAACCTAACCTAACCTAACCTAAAGGACTGCTGTTAAAGGTCATTCTGTGATGCTGTTAACGGCTGTTTCCTCGTTCTGTGATGCTGTTTACGGCTGTTTCCTCGTTCTGTGATGCTGTTAACGGCTGTTTCCTCGTTCTGTGGTGCTGTTAACGGCTGTTTCCTCGTTCTGTGGTGCTGTTAACGGCTGTTTCCTCGTTCTGTGGTGCTGTTAACGGCTGTTTCCTCGTTCTGTTGATGCTGTTAACGGCTGTTTCCTCGTTCTGTGGTGCTGTTAACGGCTGTTTCCTCGTTCTGTGATGCTGTTAACGGCTGTTTCCTCGTTCTGTGGTGCTGTTAACGGCTGTTTCCTCGTTCTGTGATGCTGTTAACGGCTGTTTCCTCGTTCTATGGTGCTGTTAACGGCTGTTTCCTCGTTCTGTGATGCCGTTGCGTTTATATCCGGAAGTAAATATCTCCAAGTGATTTGCTTTTGCGTATGTGTGTAGCCGTGTGTATGTTTGTGTATGTACAGTCCCGTTCACTAGTGCGTTTACAGGGGCTCGTCAGATTTTGTGTAGTGTGCCAGGCCTGTGTTTGTTTACATTTGACAGAAGGAAACTCGCAATAGTAAACAAACTATAGAATCAAATTCAAACAATACTAAAACAAACATCGCAGAGATAACGAGTTGTGGAAAGTTTATATGATGAGCCCCTGTAAACGCACTAGTGGAGGGGAGACTGTACAAGACATGGTGCGCCTACTAACCCAACAACGTGTCATGTCTCGGATTCACAAGTTCAAGAGTTTCAGGGCTCTTGGACAGGACTTCCGTGTTTGTGTGTAGTAGTAGTAATAGTAGTGTGTGTGTATGTGTTTGTGCGTGTGTGTGTGCGTGTGTGTGTGTGTGTGTGTGCGTTCGTGCGTGCGTGTGTGTGTGTGTGTGTGTATGTGTGTGTGCGTGCGTGTGTGTGTGTGTGTGTGTGTGTGTGTGTGTGTGTATGTGTGTGTGCGTGCGTGTGTGTGTGTGTGTGTGTGTGTGTGTGTGTGTGTGTGTGTCGTCAAAAAGAGATACTATATACCCAGTTTTCGCAAAACACACACACACACACACACACAATTAAGTAGTTCACGTGGGCCCCAGCACAGTCCATGTGGGCCTCAGTGCAGTTCACTTGGGCTCCAGAGCAGTCCACGTGGGCCCCAGAACAGTCCACGTGGGCCCCATTACAGTCCATGTGGGCCCCAGTACAGTCCAGGGCTCTCTGTTCCCCGATCACATCCGGCCCTGACCTGATAAACGAATAAGGTGGTTCACTCCTCTTGTGATTATGTGATGCTGCAGCTGAGGGGAACTGGTGGTGATAATGACACTACCACACTACCACTCAACTGTGTGGTGGTTGCTAGTACCTCTACCACACTACACTGTATAGTATGGTGGTAGTAATGGGTGTGGTGGTGGTAGTGATGGTAGTTGTAATGATAGTGGTTGTGGTAATGGTGATGGTGGTGATCGAGGAAAAAAGGACAACGATAATAAGGAGGAGGAGAAGGACAGGTGAGAAGGAGGAGGACAGATAATAAGGAGGGAGAGGACAGAGGTAATAAGGAGGAGGAGGAGAAGGGCAGGTAAGAAGGAGGAGGAGGACAGAGGTATTAAGGAGGAGGAGGAGAAGGACAGGTAAGAAGGAGGTGGAGGACAGAGGTAATAAGGAGGAGGAGGAGAAGGACAGGTAAGAAGGAGGAGGAGGACAGAGGTAATAAGGAGGAGGAGGAGAAGGACAGGTAGAAGGAGGAGGAGGACAGAGGTAATAAGGAGGAGGAGGAGGAGAAGGACAGGTATAATAAGGAGGAGGGAGGAGAAGGACAGGTAGAAGGAGGAGGAGGACAGAGGTAATAAGGAGGAGGAGGAGAAGGACAGGTAAGAAGGAGGAAGGGAGGACAGAGGTAATAGGAGGAGGAGGAGAGGAGGACAGGTAAGAAGGAGGGAGGAGGACAGAGGTAATAAGGAGGAGGAGGAGAAGGACAGGTAAGAAGGAGGAGGAGGACAGAGGTAATAAGGGGAGGAGGATGATAGAGTTAGAAGGAGGAGGAGGACAGATAAGAAGGAGGAAGAGGAGGAGAAGGACAGGTAAGAAGGAGGAGGAGGACAGAGGTAATAAGGGGGAGGAGGATGATAGAGAGTTGGGAGGAGGAGGAGGAGGGAGTAGGAGGAGGAGGAGGACAGAGGTAATAAGGGGGAGGAGGATGATAGAGTCAAGGAGGAGGAGGAGGAGAGGGGTAAGGAGGAGGAGGACAGAGGTAATAAGGAGGAGGATGATGGTTAGGAGGAGGAGGAGGAGAGGGGTAGGAGGAGGAGGAGGACAGAGGTAATAAGGGGGAGGAGGATGATAGAGTCAAGGAGGAGGAGGAGGAGAGGGGTAAGGAGGAGGAGGACAGAGGTAATAAGGGGGAGGAGGATGATAGAGTTAAGGAGGAGGAGGAGGAGAGGGGTAAGGAGGAGGAGCAGGAGCCTGTTTGGTCAGTCCTGTCCTGGTATCTGCTTCCGTCGTTTTAGTGAGCGAGTGACACTACAGTACAGATGCCTGGCACCCGGGGTAGAGTCGCTCATTGGCCAGCTAGGCGGCACTCCCTCCACTACCGCTCGTCCAACCACGCTTCTACTTCTGCCGATCACTGCCAAACATTCACTGGTGGTCACTACTAGTCACTACAGTGTCTTTTACCCAACGTCTGTGTCACTTTGTATTGCAATCCCTGCTGTTTTGACTGATTCCTGACGTCTTCGCTCGCCACCCCCCCTCATGAAGCCAACGGTGTCGTAAGTTTCAACTGCTAAATCGTTCCTGATATCGCTGTTTCACCGCTAGTTCTATAACTTTTATGGTGCCCCGACTCTCTGAAAACCACATCCTGACTACCAACAATTCTGTACTGTGTTGTCTATAAAGCTGCCGTAAACGTAAACAAGCTTCCCTCAAGAGCCGTCAGCCACCAAGTTTGTTTTGTCCTGCAGCAGAACTCGACGCCGTAAATTGTGTTTTGGAACTGAAGCATTACGTCGCATCTTATGACACTTAAAAAATATCCGTGAACCCGTGATCTTTGGAAAGTTCTACTTGACTTTTTTATGAACTAACATGAAACAATAGATCTGCGTTCGTATGTGGTGGAACTTATAGAAGACACAGAAAAACTCTTATGTAAACGCAGCAGAATGTATTAAAAATGAACTCTCCTGCCTGACCTTTCGGGTGCTGGGGTGCTGAACTTTGTGTGTCTGTGTGAACGATAAAACACGACATTCACTTTCCTGGACTTGGAGATAAAAAAAATAACTCTTCCTGCATCTCAATTCTCTGTGACCGTGGAACTCTCTTGTGTGTGAACGCGGAACTCTTTAATTATTGGAGTACTGGCGGCGAGCTGATCCCTTCAGAATGATGTTGAACGCTGAGACGGCCACCTCCTCCTCCTCCAACGGTGTTGCTGAAGAATGTGCCGAAGAGGAAAATCCATCGCACTCCTCGGCCCTCTCCCCGACCGACCCCGTGTCCTTAGCCAGACTGCACCTCTTCAACGCCGCCTACAGGTGAGTCATTCTCCTCAACGCCACTTACAGTGAGTCATTCTCCTCAACAGTGGCTATAGGTGAGTCAATCTCAACACCGCCTACAGGCGAGTCATTCTCCTCAACGCCGCCTACAGGTGAGTCATTCTCCTCAACGCAGCTTACAAGTGAGTCATTCTTCTCAACGGTGCCTATAGGTGAGTCATTCTCCTCAACGCCGCCTATATACAGGTGAGTCGTTCTCCTCAACGCCGCCTATATACAGGTGAGTCATTCTCCTCAACAGGTGCTATAGGTGAGTCATTATCCTCAACGCCGCCTACAGGTAAGTCATTCTCCTCAACAGTGGCTTTAGGTGAGTCATTCTCCTCAACAGGGGCTATAGGTGAGTCTTGACGTGTATCTGTAGTCCCGACCTTTACCCCGTGACGCTAAAGATACGTTTTAGGGAAAAAAAAACACTGGAGCCAAATCCGAACTGCCATGTTAAAAGAGCGGCCTTGGGTTTGGTGGGGCTGGGCTAGGTTAAGTTTAGGCTGTGTTAGGTTATTTTTGGTGGGGTTAGGTTAGGTTAGGTTTGGTTAGGTTTCATTAGGTTAGGTTAAGTTTAGGCTGTCTTAGGTTATTTTTGTTGGCGTTAGGTTAAGTTATGTTGGGTTACGGTGGATTAGGTTAGGTTAAGTTAGTTTAGGCTTCGTTAAATTAGTTAAGTTATGTTGAATTAGTTTAAGTTAGGTTGAGTTACGTTACATTAGGTTAGCTTCAGTTTGGTTAGGTTAAGTCAGGTAGAGTTAGATTAAGTTCACTCGCTCCAGTACTCTGCCGGTTCATATCCCTGATGCTCAAAGCGTTTGTTGTGAGATATTCTTAACAGTCAGTTGAAAATCCTAACAGAGTGATTCAGCTTTATTCTACCCGTCACACACTATCCGCCACATACTATCCCCCACACTCTATCCGCCACACACTATCCGCCACACTCTACCCGGGCATTAGGAACCTTGAGTATAGAGACAGATTACAGCATCTTAATTTGCACTCCCTCGAGAGACGTAAAGTGAGGGGCGATATGATCGAGGTGTATAAATGGAAGTCAGGGTTAAACTAAGGTGATATAACAAAGGTACTCAAACTATCCAACCAGGGGCGAACTCGAAGCAATGGTTTTAAATTAGACAAATTTAGATTTAGGCGCGAGATAGGTAAACATTGGTTTGAAAATAGAGTAGTGGATGAGTGGAACAAGTTACCAAACATCATCATTAACTCGAATACGCTGGATAGCTTTAAACATTTGTTGGGTGGATATATGAGCGATAGGGGTTGGGTGTAAACGAGACTGTCCAGTATGGGCCAATAGTCCCCATTCATATGTGATCTCTTGTGTTCATATCCCAAATAAGCCTCACCGTCTTCCTCTGAATAATTACTAATTTGGCTTTCATATTTTGTGTTAGGGCAGAGTACGATGATGAACGGGAATATTCTAAGTTATATTGCATATGAGCTAAGTAAAGGGTCAATTACACACATTATCTTTAGTTAAAATAACTGAGGATACAGTTGAGATGATGGATTCATTTCTATAACGTACAACGAATTCGTTTACTTTTTTTTTTCGTTTTGATCCAAATAATATTGCTTCAGTCTTTGCAAGATGTGAGGATAATTCGTTGCTTATAAGCCACTGTTTGCATGACTCTAGTTTAGATGATAACCCGTTAGCTATATAATTTACATCTTCACCTGACACTAAAAGAGCGCTGTCATCAGCATACAACAACAGTTTCCAATTTACACTAATAGGCATGTCATTTACACAGAAAAGGAAGAGCAATGGTCCCAGGATTCTCTCTTATGGGACTCCACAGGCTGTCGACAAGAGTATTGACTTGGTATTATTTGCAACTATAATTTGTTTTCTATTATGAAGTTAATATTTACACCAATCTATAGATGCAATGCCAAGCCTGGATTTTTTCATTTAGTATAATTATCATAATCCGCTGCTCTTTCCAACAGTTTAAACACAACACACACGATACTAACCGACCTATAGGACTTCGGATCTGTTGTTTTTCTTATAATTAGATGTTACTCTGGAAAACTTACGTCCATCCGGCACAGTATTGGTGCTAAAGGAAAGGTTGTTTATGTTACACTGGTGTGTTAAAGTCAGCAGAGATGTTATTATTAATACCTGTGCTCTCGGATAGGGTCTAGTGCAGTATGGAGTTTAAGTCTGTTTACAGCGATGCATATCTGTAGCTAAAGTCGAACACACTATTTACTCCTGAACTGCCTACGTCTCCTTACCGAGTAACTACTACTGTACTAAAGATCTGGCCAGTCGCTGTTAAATACGTTCTGGGTTATAATACTGTATAATCAAACGAAATATCCGTAGATAACACCGAAATAACCGGCCTGAGGGGAATGCCCAGAGGAAGCTGGAGATATCTGGTTTCAGTATGTTACTATACCAATCACCCGCTCGTCCAGAACCGCCCTGATAAGGGGAGGGGACCCAGTAGTTGGCCCGTGAGCTGGTAACTCTTCCTCTGTCTGTTGTTCTGTTTTACGATTTAGATAGATAGATAAATATTCAGTGAAGTCGTCATACAATTTTACACTTGGTTCAGCGTGTACATAGCCCGTGCAAGTATACAACTGTATGCACAAACAGTGCAGGTATACAAACAATGGGTGACAGAAGTAACTCATCTCAGGACAACAAATCTAACGTCAGATGTTTATTTATTTATTAATTTTATTTATTTATTGATGCAATGTTGGAGATGGACGGTGGTGGTGATGGTAGAGGAGAAGGTTGCTGGTGGCGGTGATGATGATAGTAGTGTTGGAGAAGGAAGCTGGTGTTGGTGGTGGGGAGGAGGGGATTGGACCCACGCAAGATAAGAGGTCTTGGAACACAACCGGGAACAATTTCCTGCTGGTCCGGGTACAGCCTTCGTTCACGAGAGGTACTGAACTCCTGAGACTGTAGCTGCGGCCAAGACCAAACTCCACGACACACACCTCAAACATCACACTCTCACACTCTAAACACACTCTACAGCACCTAACTCGAACATCACACACTTTCACTCTAAAACACCTACAGGCATTCTGTCTAGACCGAAGTGGCTGGGGATGATAGTTTAACTAAGGATGATGGTTTGACCCCTTGAGGTCGATGGTTTAAAAGATGCCCATTGCTTCAAGGAAGATTGGGTTGGGTTGGGTTGGGTTGGGTTAGGGTAGGGTAAGTTTGGTTAGGGCATTTCAGGTTAGGTTAAGTTATGGTAGATTATATAAGGTTAGGTCAGATTAGATTAGGTTATGGTAGATTAGATAAGGTTAAGTTATGGTAGATTATATAAGGTTAGGTCAGATTAGATTAGGTTATGGTAGATTAGATAAGGTTAAGTTATGGTAGATTAGACAAGGTTAAGGCAGATCAGGTTAGGTTAGGTTAGGTTATGGTAGATTATATAAGGTTAAGGCAGGTCAGGTTAGGTTAGGTTTTGGTAGATTAGGTAGGGTAGTTTCGGCTAGGCTAAGGTAGATTAGATTAGGTTAGGCAACGTTTGGGTTAATATTAGTCTGGGTTAGGTTAGGGTAGATTAGGTTAGGTTAACTTTCACCGGAGTGTCGCAGACGGAAACAACAGAGGGTTTTTATTGGTCGTCCATGTGATGCGTTATTTTTTGTCTTGTTGGCGTAAAGTGGCGGTGACTCTCTGACGTGTTTTTACAGCTGTCTGTCTGTCTGTCTGGCTGCCTGCCTGTGTATCTGTCTATGTCTGTGTGTATCTCTTAGTTCCTGTCTAATGTCTCTGTGCCTTGTTGTTATTCTTCTTTACCATCATCATCTGCTTTCCACATTCTTATCTCTTGCTTAATAAGTGACACACACACACACACACACATACATACACACACACGAGAGAGAGAGAGAGAGAGAATAATGCAAAGAAGAAGAAAAAGACTTTGAGAAAAGCAAAATAGAATAAGAAGACATGATTGACTGTACCATTTGAACAAGACATGATTGACTATACTATTTGAACAAGACATGATTGACTGTACCATTTGAACAAGACATGATTGACTGTACCATTTGAACAAGACATGATTGACTGTACCATTTGAACAAGACATGATTGACTGTACCATTTGAACAAGACATGATTGACTGTACCATTTGAACAAGACATGATTGACTGTACCATTTGAACAAGACATGATTGACTGTACCATTTGAACAAGACATGATTGACTGTATCGGTAGGGCTAATCAAGTGAAGCTCCAGTTTACAAGGCATGACGGACAGTATAAATACTCAACAGGAAACGAATCCACACACACACACACACAACTGTTGCCTTTATCACTACTCCTTGTCCTTCTTCCTGACGGAGTGTCGTCGCCCTGCCTTACCACCACCACCACACGACAATACCCACAGCCTGTCCTCCTACACCCTCACTAGTAGATAGATAGATAGATAGGGATTTCTTCAGTAAAATCGTCATTCATATTAATAACTGGTTCAGCATGTCTATCTGTCTATCTATCTATCTATCTATCTATCTATCTATCTATCTATCTAACGCTTGCGTCTACACAACACAGGAAGTACACAACACAAACACACACTTTGGGAACACTTGTACGGAAATTCTTTACTTTCTCATTTTATTTTATTGTCAAATTCTTAAAACCATCTTGAGGGTGACAGTCTCTCTTGAGCAAATTAGTTTATCACGTAAAGAAGACTGTTAACTGTATTAACATCACGTATATAAGACTGTTAACTGTAGATATACATACAGTTCAGTGTGTGTATAGACAATGCGGGTATACAGTATGTGAAGTGTGAGGAACAGCGTGTGGTGAAGGTGGTCACTTACAGCTTATTCATAACAAAGAGTTTGATGAGTCAATCCTTACTTCCTCCCTTCCTACGCTCGCCTGGCACGACCCTCACTGCTGATCATGACTACAAGCCCAGCACAGCACCACGACCCTCACTGCAGACCACGACTACAAGCCCAGCACAGCACCACGACCCTCACTGCTGACCATGACTACAAGCCCAGCACAGCACCACGACCCTCACTGCTGACCACGACTACAAGCCCAGCACAGCACCACGACCCTCACTGCTGACCACGACTACAGCCCAGCACAGCACCACGATCCTCACTGCTGACCACGACTACAAGCCCAGCACAGCACCACGACCCCACTGCTGACCATGACTACAAGCCCAGCACAGCACCACGACCCTCACTCACTGCTGACATGACTACAAGCCCAGCACAGCACCACGACCCTCACTGCTGACCGACTACAAGCCCAGCACAGCACCACGACCCTCACTGCTGACCACGACTACAAGCCAGCACACGACTACAAGCAGCACCCTCACTGCTGACCATGACTACAAGCTCAGCACAGCACCACGACCCTCACTGCTGACCATGACTACAAGCTCAGCACAGCACCACGACCCTCACTCCTGACCATGACTACAAGCCCACCACAACACCACGACCCTCACTGCTGACCATGACTACAAGCCTAGCACAGCACCACGACCCTCACTGCTGGCCACGACTACAAGCCCAGCACAGCACCACGACCCTCACTGCTGACCACGACTACAAGCCCAGCACAGCACCACGACCCTCACTGCTGACCATGACTACAAGCCCAGCACAGCACCACGACCCTCACTGCTGACCACGACTACAAGCCCAGCACAGCACCACGACCCTCATTGCTGACCATGGGTCGGACACCATAGGTAGGGGGCCATTGGATGTCCGCTTACGTATAAAAAGTCCGGTTTAAAGAACAAAGGATAAGCTATGGGCTGGAGGTTGGAGATAGTAAACCCTGGATAACAGGACGTGGATAAGGAAACCTTGTAGGACATGCGTAGGAAAACAGGATAGGGCGCCGTTCGTTAGATCCTGCTGATATTCAACTAGACTAGCCACACGCTTCCTACAGCCGAGGCATTACTGTACACTGTAGTCAGATTTTCATCGATTCGTATATGGTAAATCGACTTTCCCTAAGCAACGAAACGAAGTTAATGGCTGATAAACTAACAATGTAACCAGACTCTTCGGAAATACGTAAATGTATAGTCTAAGAGTCTTTAAGGATCAAAACGCCTCGGCTCCTTACCTGTAAAAAATGCCATCTGCATGGTGATTAAAAGAGGATTCAGAGGCGGCATTCCTTACTGTGTTCAACCCCTGCTAGGTGACTCGTCTTAGGTTAGATCCGGTTATGGATACATCTCAGGAAGACAATGGTGTCATCACCCACAATGAATAAACAAACTTCTCTTTTACGTTTTTTATGTCTTCCACTCTCATCAGCAGCCTGCACTATACAGTACAGACTTTACCTCCAGCCTGCACATTACAGGCTCTTCCTCACATTATACCACAACTTTACAACCTGTTTTATCATACTTCACCACCACTCTACATTACAGGCTGTTCACTTCACCACCACCATCCTATATACCAGTACAAGCCAGCCTACACCATTACAGGCTGTTCCCCTGGCCTCACCTTCACCCCTCACTTCCTCAAGGAGCTGAGTGAGTCACAAGTCCTCACTCACTCACGTCATGCCTCTCTTACACAATGGTGAGGTCCTACAGGGGCAAGTAACAATCTCTATTTATAAACCTGAATCATTAACTTTTGAGAACACGGAAAATGTTTTGTTGTCCAAGTTGTCTTGTTCTGTAACCTTCTTGTGCTGTAACCATCTGCCTTGTGCTGTAACCATCTGCCTTGTTCTGTAGTCATATGTCTCGTTCTGTAGCCATCTGTCGTGCTGCAACGATTTGTTCTGTAACCATCTGTCGTTCTGTAGCTATCTGTCGTGCTGTAACCATTTGTTCTGCAACCATTCACTTGTTCTGTAACCATCTGTCGTTCTGTAGCCATCTGTCGTTCCGTAGTCATCAGTCTTGATTTACTGGTTTAAAACGTGTTTAAAAATTTTAAGTGGAACGAGGTTAAAAGTATACATACATACATACATACATACATACATACATATCTAAGCAAATTTTTCTCCGCATGATCACCGTATAAAAAATCAAAATAACAAACAGGTCCAATATACTCAATCAATTATACTAAAAACAGGGAATTTTATCAATAGCTTATTTCTCTTAATATTATTTACTGTACCCTAGTTTTCAACAAATCAGTCAGGCTGTACTGTAGTGAACCCAACATCCTTATAATTATACTGTGTCCCCCCTCTACCCTATGCTGTATTCACTGGAATTATACCCCGTTGTAGTAATTTATCATCGTACATTTTGTGAGGAAAGGTTTTAGTAAAATACGAAAGGGCGAGTAAAGAGTGTGAGAGATGTATCTTGCTTGTGGGTGAAGCAACAGGGAGACGAAAACCAAGTTATCCATCTGCATTTATATCAAACCGTAATAGGATGCGCTTATCACTTGTTTTCCCACTTGCTCTTAAATTCCTGTTCTATAAGACGGAGTACTTATTTGATATATATTTTAAGACATAAGTGAAGAAGGGAAAGACTATGATAAGCTTGTGTGTGGTGACCATCTTGAAGGAGTTGCTCTTGTAAACTCCGCCCACCACTCTGACTTCGTCCTGCCTCCTTACGCTTGGCTCCTCCCCTTCCACCGTTCAGATACCCGCCCTAAAACATTATAACTTAGACTGGTAGATTCATATAGAATGATAGAGAAATCAATAGGTAGATAGATAGATATTTATACATTAAAATTGCCATACAAGATAAAAATTGGTGTAACATCTACATAGAAAGTGCAGGTATATAAACAATGTACTGTACATAGACAATACAGGTACGCAAATAAGGGTAAACAATTGACCGCACCTGGTGTGCACCAGGCCAAGACAGCATCGATACAAACGTTCATTACGTATTTATATTACAAGGAATTACAGATACCAAAAAAAATTCAAGTTGTGTTCGCTGTTTCTTGGAGGAGTTGCTAAAGACAGTCTCTGGTTCTCAGCTCTGGGATGTGGGAGAGATAAACAGCACGTTCTTAGTAATGTGACTCCTTCAGTGCTGCTTAATATAAAGGTGGCGACATGAGGGAGGGAGGGGGCAGAGAGGGGTCAAGGTGGACGAAGGAGGGGTCAAGGGGGGTTGGGGGTACAGAGAAGACGCGAGGGGGAGGGGGGTCGCTAACTTGATCCCGAGGCCTTCCCATTACCACTCCACCTATAGTTGTATACTGGCGCCTAACTTTACGGTTTAAGGAAGTGAAGGTGGTCGAGTACAGTGTCGGATAACTTTCCTCCTTGTGTGCTGAAGGCTTATTAAAAATATATCTTATAGAATGTTTGTGTTATAACAGCAACATTGTCCTCACTTGCTGATATGTGTGAGGTCTATACCACAAATGCGGACAATGTTGCTATTATAACAAACATTCACGCGATCATCGCATAAGACAGTGTGTATACTGTACTGTACAATGCATTTTTTGGCGACATCCAGCCAGCCTATGTAATAATATACGATTTTGACACTGTCTCAAAATGGCCGCCGTGCCAGTGTGAGTCAGAGGTATAGTAGAGCGTGCGGGGAGAGAGGGAGAGTTAAGGGCAAGTAGTGGTGTCCCTGAGGGTCTCTTATCATCACTCGCGGGTCCTTGATAGCGCCACCAGGAGACACCGGATACGTCCCTGTTGTTCCAGCTGATCCTACCTGACGCAACGCCCGGCCTGGCCCTCTAGTGCTGCTAGAGTACGGACCTGGCCCCTCTAGTGCTGCTAGAGTACAGACCTGGCCATACAGCCTTCTACTCACAGATAGCTGCTAACATCCTTTCCCTCCCAACAGATGGTCCGTGCAGCCAGAAAATAGCCAGCCAGAAGAGTACCGGGTGAAGTGGGAGGGACACATGCACCATCTGTCGCAGCAGGTGGCCCAGCTAGAGAACGACTCCGCCTCGGCTGACGTGACAGTGGCCACCAAGGGCATCAACATCCCCTCCCACAGGATAGTTCTCGCTGCCGCCAGTTCCTTCTTCAGGGGCGTTCTGCAGGTGTGTGTGTGTGTGTGTGTGTGTGATGATGATGATGATGATGATGATGATGATGATGATGATGATGACGATAATGATGACTGACGATGACAATGTTTCCGACGATGATTATGATGACGATGACAGAAGGTTGCACTAACAGATGGAAAGAAAGACGAGTTGATAAAGTAGGAAATGAACCACAACGACATAACAGGAAATACAAACTGACCCAGAAAAACCCCGAGTGTTGTGCAAGAATGTTTCTCTTATTACACGTCTGTCTCTATCTCTCTACCTCTACCTCTGTCTCTACCTCTACCTCTGTCTCTATTATTCTACCTCTACCCCTATCTCTCTCTCTCTACCTTTATCTCTCTACCTCTACCTGTCTCTACCTCTACCTCTGTCTCTATCTTTCTACCTCTACCCCTATCTCCATCTCTCTACCTCTACCTCTGTCTCTATCTCTCTACCTCTACCTCTGTCTCTATCTCTCTACCTCTCTCTCTCTCTCTCTCTCTCCTTCCCTCTTATTCCTCCCTCTCTCTCACCTCTACCATTATCCTCTCCAGGAGGTTCCAGTGAGCCAGCACCCGGTGATCGTGGTGAGGGACACAGATCCCCGCCACCTGCGTTATGTTGTGTCCTTCTGCTACAGCGGCTCCGTCAGGATACCCCAGCAAGACGTAGACCAAGTACTGAAGGTAAGTCTTGTGTCTACATGTACTGTACAGCTTCGTCAGTAGACCCCGGCAGGATATCAACGAGGTCCTTCAAGAGCTTCAGATATATACACTGGCGGGATACAGTCTCAAACACACTCGAATATTCAGTAGCATCAAAGCGAATAGTTACAGTAGCTAGATAGATAGATAGATACAAAATAATACGCTACATAATTCACTATGCACACACTCCAGTAGCAAGCCAACTACCAAACTACCAACACCACCTATCACCACCAACTATCCCACCACTAACCACTACCACCACCAACTATCCCACCACTAACCACTACCACCACCAACTGTCCCACCACTAACCACTACCACCACCAACTATCCCACCACTAACCACTACCACCACCAACTATCCCACCGCTAACCACTACCACCACCAACTATCCCACCACTAACCACTACCACCACCAACTATCCCACCACTAACCACTACCACCACCTACCAACACCACCCACCACTTAACCCCCATCGCTAATCACCACCCACCACTACCCATCACTACCATCGCCTACCACCCACTACCACCTACCTACACAAATAACAACCACTCCCGCCTCCTACTACAACCACCTACCCCCACCACTAACCACCACCCACCACTACCACCATCTACCCCCCCCCCTCAACAGACGTAGAATCACAGTCAAGCAAGAACATGAAAGCCAGTTCATAGACTTCATCCATGACTGGTACAAGGACTACAAGCCTGACAACTACTAAAGTTTCCATGATGATCTGATAGATAGGACTTATGCATACTTCACCAACAATGCCTCCACCAAAAAAAGGAGAAAACGTTGTCAGCATAATGGGAACAGGCAACAGCAGTGCTATAATGACCCTGAGCTGAAAAAACTCAGGGCTAGGGTCAGGAGGGTGGGTAAGAGTTACAAACAAATTAGAACACCTCAAATGTTACAATTGTATCAAGCTTCCCTTGCTGCTGTCAGGGAACGTGTCAACGAACTCAGACAAAATGCATGGGAGACATATGTCAACAGCCTGAACCAACACACATCCCTCAGCAAAGCCTGGAAAGACATAAACATAATCAGAGGTAAAAACAGTAGATACGTCTCCCATCCAAACCCTCTGCAAAGGTCGAATGAGCTAATAACAATGTGGGCTCATGTGTCTAGCTATGACATGTTACCAGCTAGGACTCGGGGACTCCTTGATGCGAAGTCTGTAGAAAGAAGTAATCATATTAGCTTTATGCTGGGTAAACAGCACGATGAGTGTGATGTTCCATATACTGAGTGGGAGCTTGACGCCGCCCTCGCCAGGGGTAGGTCTACTTCCCCTGGAGAGGACGGAGTCACCTACAACATCGTTAGACTACTAAGGCGCGTGCCAGGCAATCCATTGTTGGTATTGTACAATATGAGTCATGCCGAGGGCCAACTACCCACATCATGGACCAGCAGTATTGTTGTACCAATACCGAAACCAGGACAGCCTGATGCTTTTCGTCCCATATCACTAACCAGCTGCCTGTATAAAACCTTTGAGAGGATGGTTCTTGGCAGACTCTTATATAGAATCAGAGAACACATGTCTCCTAACATAAATGGCTTCACCCATGGTAAAGGTGTACATAATTGCATCACCACATTCCTAACTGTGCATGGTGATGAAAGGCACAGATACGCCACATTTCTTGACCTAAAAGCTGCATTTGATATTGCCAATAGGCAACTGATATTGTACAAACTAGCCAAAATGGATATAGGAGGTAGGCTGTTACACTGGATAAGTGGTTACCTAACCAACAGAAGGACTGCTGCACTGTTTCAGGGTTACAAAAATGAAATTAAAGATATGCAACTTGGTACCCCTCAAGGTGGAGTACTTAGCCCCACTTTGTTCAATGTTCTTATGAATGCATTATTAAATTTAATACCAGACAACCCCAGCAATATCTCAATCAGCTATGCTGATGATATTCTTATACATACTAAAACTCATTGTGAAATGCAAACCACCCTGAACCATGTGTACGCAGCCTGTGAGAACCTCGGTCTTATTATCTCCACTGAGAAAACTAAGGTGTTCAACAAACAAGCTGGTAACCGCAAACGCGGCCCCGCCAAGTTCAAGATAGGTAACAACACTATTGACTATGCTTCTTCTTTTAAATATCTTGGTGTTTCCGTCCCTTGTACCCTACCTGCCATAAAACAGCTAACCCGCCAATGTACTGACAGACTGAGACCTCTTAGAAGTGTAGCGGGGTACAGCCCGCACTATGGTGCTAATATTAGAATTGTTAAAACAATGTACCTAGGCTATATAAGATCTCTGATAGATTACCACGCACCAGCCCTGGTCATTCGTGACGGGAAAGGCGTTGACAAGCTCGAGAAAATGCAAAATAAAGCCCTCAGAATTATCCTAGGATGTCCCATGAGCACTAAAGTACTTAATATGAGGAAAGAACTAGGTATACCCAGTGTTAAAGATAGAATAATTGAAGTCAACCTCATGATAGCCCTGAGGCTTCTGCGTGGTGATCCTGATAACATTGTTTCCTTAAAATTGCTAGAATGTATGAACCATGGGACTACTGAGTCTAAATGGATCCAAACTACAGCTACACATATGAAGATGTTTGGACTAGACCACTTGTACAAAGTTGAGACACAACAGCGCTTCCTGCCACCCTGGCTGACAGTTCCCTTCGATATCACAATACCGACGTATCCGCCTAAAAAATTAATTATGCAAAGCATTTATCTCCAACACACTGCCAAATTGAGAGCTCTTGAACACATACACACTCTACAGACTGATGATAATATCACACAGACCAAATACACTGATGGAACTCTTAACACCGCCTGTGGGAGGGCTGGAAGTGCTATTGTTGTGACTCAACCTGACGGTAATATAATTGAGAAAGGAGTTAGAATTAACAACTGGGCATCCACTCTACAAACTGAATTAGTTGCCATACTCACAGCTATTAAATTCATTGAAACCACTGTTACTGACAGTCTCATCATCACTGACTCTCTATCCTCACTACTTGCCCTTGGCACCCTCGACTCAGGTTGTCACGCTCTTGTCTCTGAAGCCAGACACAAATATGCGTGCCTTGTTGACCGGGGTGTCAAGGTCAAACTGTTGTGGATCCCATCTCACATAGGCCTCATAAAACATGACAGAGTTGATGCCCTCGCCAAACTCGCGTCTAACAAAGACACCGTTGAATACAATTTGGGTCTGTCAAAAAGAACCCTTAAAACTGTAATTAGGAAAGAACTTATTGATGCGTTTGACGCAAGTAGACTAGTGCAAACAAGCACTAGTCGATCCATAGGTTACCATGATGAGATGTATCAAGTGAAACATGTATATGGAGCAAGTAACAAGATCACTAGATTACAAGATGTTGTAACCGCTAGATTAAGGTTAGGATATAAGTACCTTTGGCAGTATGTTCCTCAAGCAGATGTAAACAAAACTAAATGTAAAGTGTGTGGCCATACATATGGCCACACACTTGAACACTACGTCCTCGACTGTGTGAAGATAAAACCTTTTAGGGACAGGTCCAAGCACACTGTGTGTGAAATGGCACAACACTTCATCTCTAATGGCAAGATAGCCGACATATTAAGATTGTATCCACTTTTTTGCACTTAGTAACTATATCAATTCTCATGTACAGAACCAAATACGCAATGTGCTTGAATACCTCTCACGTAAATGTGAATAACAAAGTGTGAGGCCAGACATACTGCCTCACACGCCTGTACTCACGCATTTGTGAATAAGTTACCCTTTATGTATAGAACTAAACAAATAATGTAAATGAAATACTGTGTAACATTCAGTGCCATAATATCCTGACAACGGGGGTTAATTATTATGACCCTTTGTAAACCCTACTCTGTAATCCTTTTGCGCTACCGCTCACAGGATGAGTGTGGGGTGCACATTAAAGTAGCCGCTGTAAGCGGCAAAATCAAAATCAAAATCATCTACCCCCACCACCCACCACTACCACCACCTACCCCTACCACCCACCACTACCACCATTCACAACTACCACCACCTACCCCCACTACTAACCACCACCACTACCACAACCACCACTAACCACACACTTCTACCACCAGTTAGCACAAGACTTGGAGATCAGCGGACTGAAAATAGTGAGACAGGAAGAAGAATCCTCCGACCCACCACCGCCCACCACCACGCTCCGCAACCGCTTCTTCCGCCCACCCTCGCCCACCAGGTTCACTTTCACGCCGCCCATGCACGTCCACTCACCGCCCACCCTTCAGGAGCGTTGTGGCAGCTCCCCGGGACCTAAGAGAGCCAACACGCCTCTGGATCTACAGGATACACAGGTGAGTGAGCGCAGGTACAGGTGTATACACAGGTGAGTTAGCGTTGGCACAGGTGTATACACAGGTGAGTGAGCGCTGGCACAGGTGTATACACAGGTGAGTGAGCGCAGGTACAGGTGTATACACAGGTGAGTTAGCGTTGGCACAGGTGTATACACAGGTGAGTGAGCGCTGGCACAGGTGTATACACAGGTGAGTGAGCGCAGGTACAGGTGTATACACAGGTGAGTTAGCGTTGGCACAGGTGTATACACAGGTGAGTGAGCGCTGGCACAGGTGTATACACAGGTGAGTTAGCGTTGGCACAGGTGTATACACAGGTGAGTGAGTTGATGTATACACAGGTGAGTGAGCGCACAGGTGTATACAGGTGAGCGCTGGCACAGGTGTATACACAGGTGAGTGAGCGCTGGTACAGGTGTATACACAGGTGTGAGCGCTGGCACAGGTGTATACAAGGTGAGCGTTGGCACAGGTGTATACACAGGTGAGTGAGCTGGCACAGGTGTATACACAGGTGAGTGAGCGCAGGTACAGATGTATACACAGGCGAGTGAGCGCTGGCACAGGTGTATACACAGGTGAGGTGTAGCGCTGGCACAGGTGTATACACAGGTGAGGCACAGGTGAGGTGAGTGAGCGCTGGCACAGGTGTATACACAGGTGAGCGTTGGCACAGGTGTATACACAGGTGAGTGAGCGCTGGCACAGGTGTATACACAGGTGAGTGACCGCAGGTACAGATGTATACACAGGCGAGTGAGCGCTGGCACAGGTGTATACACAGGTGAGCGAGCGCTGGCACAGGTGTATACAAAGGTGAGTGAGCGCTGGCACAGGTGTATACACAATTGAGTGAGCGCAGGTACAGCTGTATACACAGGCGAGTGAGCGCTGGCACAGGTGTATACACAGGTGAGTGAGCGCTGGCACAGGTGTATACACAGGTGAGTGAGCGCTGGCACAGGTCAAATTACCGGCCGATCAGTTTGACGTCAGTAGTGGGGAAACTTCTTGAATCAATTATAGCAGATAGCATCCGATCGCATCTAGGGAAAAGCAAATTAATCTACGACTCTCAACATGGGTTTACAAAGGGAAAATCTTGCCTAACAAATCTGCTAACGTTTTTTGGAAAGTCTTCGAGGTAGTAGATAATGACGAAAATTACGATGTTATTTACTTAGACTTTAGCAAAGCATTTGACAGAGTACCGCATCAGAGGCTTCTGAGAAAAATTAAGGCTCATGGTATCGAGCGGAAAGTTTTAAATTGGATAAAATCATGGCTCACCGATAGAACGCAGAGGGTCAGCGTAGATGGTGTTAAATCTGAGTGGGGCCGTGTAACCAGTGGGGTTCCCCAGGGGGTCAGTACTAGGCCCACTCTTGTTCATAATCTACATAAACGATCTAGATACTGGGATCAGCAGTGACATAAGCAAGTTTGCGGATGACACCAAAATAGGGCGGCAAATTAATTCAGGGCAGGATGCAAATGCATTACAGGAGGATCTAAATAAACTGCAAGGGTGGTCTGAAAAATGGCAAATGAAATTCAACACCAGCAAGTGCAGCGTACTTAATATTGGAAGAACAAATACTTATAATGTATACAGCCTTAACAAGGTCAACCTAGAGAAGTCGACTTGTGAAAGAGACCTAGGGGTACTTGTAAGCCCGGACCTACGGCCTAGAAAACAGTGCGTTGATGTTCGAAATAAGGCAAACAGAGTATTGGGTTTTATATCTAGAAGTGTAAGTAACAAGAGTGCAGAGGTCTTATTGCAACTATATCTTGCGCTAGTCAGGCCGCACCTCGATTATGCGGTTCAGTTCTGGTGCCCCTATTATAGAATGGATATAAATTCACTAGAGTCGGTGCAGCGAAGAATGACAAAAATGATTCCGGGACATAGAAACCTTCCATATCAAGATAGGTTAAAGAAACTTAACTTGCATTCCCTAGAAAGACGAAGAGTGCGGGGAGATACAATAGAAGTATTTAAGTGGGTGAAAGGAATCAATAAAGGGGATATAGATAAAGTTCTTATAATATCCGAGCAGGATAGGACTCGGAGCAACGGATTCAAGTTGGATAAGTTTAGGTTTAGGAGGGAGATAGGAAGAAACTGGCTCACAAATAGGGTGGTGGACGAGTGGAACAAGCTTAGCAACTTTGTAGTAAGTGCAGGAACGCTGGAAAGTTTCAAAAGGAGGCTAGATAGATTCATGGATGATAGAGAGTGGTAGTAACTCTCGACAGGAGCTGCCATGCACAGGCCAACCGGCCTATTGCAGACTCCTTATTTTCTTATGTTCTTATACACAGGTGAGTGAGCGCTGGCACAGGTGTATACACAGGAGAGTTAGCGTTGGCACAGGTGTATACACAGGTGTATACACAGGTGAGTGAGCGCTGGCACAGATGTATACACAGGTGAGTGAGCGCAGGTACAGGTGTATACACAGGCGAGTGAGCGCTGGCACAGGTGTATACACAGATGAGTGAGCGCTGGCACAGGTGTATACACAGGTGAGTGAGCGCTGGCACAGGTGTATACACAGGTGAGTGACCGCAGGTACAGATGTATACACAGGCGAGTGAGCGCTGGCACAGGTGTATACACAGGTGAGTGAGCGCTGGCACAGGTGTATACACAGGTGAGTGAGCGCTGGCACAGGTGTATACACAGGTGAGTGAGCGCTGGCACAGGTGTATACACAGGTGAGTGAGCGCAGGTACAGGTGTATGAAAATCTCGTAAAAGATGTTGGGATTGGAGACGAACTAGGAAACAGTGATCATAAAGCCATATATTTTAACATAATATGAAATGGCAGGAAGAAGGAAAATTCGGCCTTGATCCCGGATTTTAGGAAGGCTAATTACGGTAGCTTAAGGAGAGACCTAAGGGATGACCCTATGGTCAAAAGATTAATCCCCCCCACACCTCCAGAAACTGTCAACTTAGGACGGGAGAACCCCGAATTTAATTTAGCAGCTACTTATGAACAATTTATTGCGACAATCCATAATGCTCAAAATAAACACATCCCTAAAAGAAAATTCAGATCGATACGGAACCAACCAAAATGGATGAATAATAGACTCTTAGATCTTCTAGGGAAAAAGAAAGGAGTATATAGAAAAGTTAAGAAAGGCGAAAATCACTTACTTGGTTACTATCAGAACCTAACAAGACAGGTAAAAACAGAAATTAGGAAAGCAAAGAGAAATTATGAAATCAAGGTAGCAAACGAATCGAAAAATAACCCCAAAGCTTTTTATCAACTGTATAAATCAAAGGTTAGAGATACAATAGGTCCCCTTAAAACTACGCCAGGAGAAATGACTGATGATGAGTTAGAAATGTGTAGTACGTTAAATAGTCATTTTCGCTCCGTATTCACAAATTAAAACCTAGCACAGTTTCCAGAAGTTCATAAGGTATATAACGACAGTATAGAAAATATGTTGATGAATATCAATATTACTAGTAACGATGTGCTTAAAGAAATTAACAAACTGAAGCCTCATAAATCGCCTGGTCCAGACGAGGTATATGCTAGAATATAAAAAGAATGTAGAGATGAGCTGAGTAATCCATTAGCAGTTTTATTTAATAAGTCATTAGAATCGGGCCTAGTGCCAGAAGCTTGGAAACTTGCAAATGTAGTTCCGATTTTCAAAAAAGGTGATAAATCAATTGCATCAAATTACCGTCCCATTAGTCTCACGTCAATCATAGGCAAGTTGCTAGAGTCAATTATTGCTACGAAAATCAGAAGCCACCTTGAAACATTCAACTTAATTCATTCTTCTCAGCACGGGTTCACCCAGGGACGTTCTTGTCTCACAAATTTGCTTAGCTTTTTCTCAGAAGTATATGAAGCGGTAGATAATGATAAGTCATATGATATAATTTATTTAGATTTCAGTAAAGCATTCGATAGAGTCCCTCATGAGAGATTGATAAGGAAGGTAGAAGCACATGGAATAGGTGGATTATTATTAAAATGGATTAGGTCATGGTTAACTGGTAGGAAACAAAGAGTCAGCATAAATGGATTTAAGTCAGACTGGGGTGCGGTCAAAAGCGGAGTTCCCCAGGGATCTGTATTAGGCCCTCTGCTGTTTGTTATATTCATTAATGATCTTGATTTAGGTATAACTAGTAGGATTAGTAAATTTGCAGATGATACCAAAATGGGGAGAGTGATAAATTCAGACAGTGACTTTGAACACCTTCAAAGAGATCTAGATACCTTACATGAGTGGTCAGTAGACTGGCAAATGAATTTTAATACTGATAAATGCAAGGTACTACAGATAGGGAAGACGAATACAAACGTTAAGTATAAACTAGGTAACACGGAAATAGAAAACTCAGATTGTGAAAAAGATCTAGGTGTATTTGTTAGCAACGACTTGAAACCTAGAAAACAATGTATTAGCGTTCGCAACAAGGCAAACAGGATTCTTGGGTTCATATCTAGGGGTGTGAGTAACAGAACTGCTGACGTTATCTTGAAACTTTACCTAGCATTAGTGAGGCCACACATGGATTATGCGGTTCAATTCTGGTGTCCTTATTATAGAATGGACATAGATTCTTTGGAGAGAGTATAAAGAAGAATGACAAAAATGATCCATAATATTAGAAACCTTCCATATGAAGAAAGACTGAAAAGCTTAGGCTTGCATTCATTAGAGAGGCGTAGAGTTAGGGGAGATATGATAGAGGTGTTCAAGTGGGTAAGTGGGATTAACAAGGGTAAAATGGAAGATGTTCTGAAGCTCAGTAATAACGAAATAACTAGAACAAATGGCTTTAAATTAGATAAATTCCGATTCAGAAAGGATATAGGCAAGCACTGGTTTGGTAATAGAGTTGTGGATATGTGGAATAGGCTACCGAGTGCTATAGTAGGAGCGGGGACGCTAGGGAGCTTCAAGACGAAGTTGGATAGGCACATCGAAGTGCTGGGATGGGTGTGAAAGGGATCTGCCCTGTATGGGCCAGTCGGCCTCCTGCAGTATCCCACTTTCTTATGTTCTATGTTCTTATACACAGGCGAGTGAGCGCTGGCACAGGTGTATACACAGGTGAGTGAGCGCTGGCACAGATGTATACACAGGTGAGTGAGCGCTGGCACAGGTGTATACACAGGTGAGTGAGCGCTGGCACAGGTGTATACACAGGTGAGTGAGCGCTGGCACAGGTGTATATACAGGTGAGCGCTGGCACAGGTGTATTGTGTGTGTACTGGGAGAGAGATATGGATAAATAAATATATAGACGGACAAATAGACAAATAGATAAATACACATATAAATAGGCAGACAGGTAGACAGATAGATAAGTAGATAGATAAATGTAGATTGATAAATAGACAGAAGAAGCTTCATATTTCCTCCAAAATAACAAACAACTCAATAGTCTGCACAAAGTTACACACAGTTTCTATTTTAACCTCCAGAGCAAAAAACGCTGCAAGGTTGAGCCATTGTCGACCAGCAGAGGAGAGAATGATTCCCCTTCGTCATTAGTGTCGCCGCGTTCCACGCCACCAGGGTCTGCCCCCCCACACCTGGTCAGTCATGCCCCCAGCACCCCCTTCTTCAGGAGTCATCGCCTCACTCCACCACATTCCGCCCCGCCACAGTCTGTCAGAGAGCTGTCCTCCTCCCATGATGCTGTAAGTCTTTCTTTCTATCTTTCTTTCTTTCTCCATTTTTTTTCTTCTGTCTTCTTTCTATTTACTTCTTCCTTCTTTTTCTTATTTCTTCTTCTCTTCTATCTCCTCCTCTTCTATCTCCTCATTTTCCTGCGTTTTCCTTTTCTTACTTCTCGTCTTTCTTTCTCATTATCTTCCTTATTTTTATTTTTATTCTCCTCCTTCCGGTTTCTTGTGTTCCTTCTTTTTCACCCTACTTCTGTACTGCTTTTCCTTCCTGTTCTTCCTTTTTCCTCTTACCTCCTTTTCCTTCGTTTCCTCTTCTTCCTCCTGTGCTCTTTGACTTCACCAAACAGTAATGGTCATTTTAATTATTTTCACATATATCTAGTTCCTAAATGGTCGTGTCTACTTGTTATTATTATTCTCTGTTTTGTGACCTGATTTGACCTTAAGGGTACTGTACTGTCTAAACCTCTGGTGACCTTTGACCTCATCTTATTTTAGCAGCAGTTAAAAACCTTTGGCTTGGCCTGATGATTCTTGACCATATCTTATCATCCAAAGACTTAACTATACTCGTATATATCTGATGACCTTTGACCTAACCTTCCTTGGTTTACAGGATCGGTTGTCATCATTAAGTGTGGTGCCTTCCTCTCGCCTCATCCAACCTCGACACCAGCCGCTGCACCCACTACCCGCCCACTCTTCCCCCTCCTCCACTCCTTCTTCCCCCAAGCAAGGTGTCCCCTCCCCTACACCCCTGGGAGGACCTTCGACCTCCCCCGCCCATCTCACTCTCCCCAACGCCCCCGCCTCCTCCTTCTCCCAAAATGAGTCACAAATCCCATCCACGCCCACAACACCCACCACACCATATACTCCCACAGTACAGAACGGTAAGTAGCCTCGATCACACCCCCACAGGTTAAGAGGGTCGTATCACAGGATTATTGTGTGCATTATGTGGCCATAGAAGACTTTTATACTGTGTTGTCTTATATTTTTTCCATCTTCGTTTCCCTCTATCCATCTACCCTCCATTCTTCCATCCATTTACCCTCCATTCCACCATCCATCTATCTACCCTCCATCTGTCCATCTACCCTCCATTCTTCCATCCATCTACCCTCCATTCCTCCAGCCTTTATCTACCCTCTACCCATAAATCTATCTACCCTCCATCCCTCCTTCCTTCCATCCATCTACCCTCAACTTATCTGTCTACCCTTCTTCCCTGCCTCCCTCATCTATCTACCCTCCCTCCCTCCTCCATCATTCTACCGATCGTCCATCTATCTATCTATACCTCCCTCCCAGCCATCCCTCTATCTAACCATCCCTTTATCTAACCATCCCTCCCTCCCTAATCTATCTACACCTCCCTCCCTCCTCCCATCCATCTACTCTCCATTTCACTAAGTCTCCTCTTCCATTCTCTCCCCGTCACAGAAGCAAGTAACAGAGGTATTGGTTCATCAGGAAGCAGTGGTTCTCGGGTACTACTCTGGCGGTTCCTACTTGATCTTCTCCACAACCCCAAATATACACCTATCTACATCCGCTGGCTAGACCGTCCCGCTGGCATCTTCAGGTGAGAGATAGACAGATATATTGTATCTTCAGGAGAGATAGACAGCTATATTGTATCTTCAGGAGAGATAGACAGGTATATTGTATCTTCAGGAGAGATAGACAGGTATCTAATATATATTAACTTCAAATAAAGAATAAACAGGTTTGGTAACTAAAAATAAATATAAATCTACCAAAAAATACAAATAAAATAGAAATGTAAATTTTTGACAAACTGAAAAACCTAACCTAACTCCACCTAACCTGTGTGAGGCTGATATGAGGGGTAGTTAGGTGGAAACTCACTGACCTAACCAACTTGACCTGTTTTAATAAGATACAGTGAGACTTATTATTGGTTCAGTAAAGTCGCCATACAAGTTTACATTTGGTTCAGTGTGTGTGTGTGTGTGTATATATATATATATATATATATATATATATATATATATATATATATATATATATATATATATATATATATATATATATATATATATATATATATATATATATATGCTGATCACCACAAGGAAAGAAGAAAACACGAAGTTCCCAAGCGCTTTCGTGTAATTCACATCTTCAGGGGTGAGTACAGACTAAAGAGAAGTACAAAACAAGGTGTATATATACAGAGGAGGGTGAGACTAGGTCCACAATGGTCAGGTATTAGGTAATGACCCTACTAATCTTTAAATAGCACGGCAACGGTCGGTAGTCAGGTCAGAGGGTAAGGTGACCCAACCTTCTCACCTGGTTACAAATCTTCTTAATTACAAAATTGTCCAGTTTGTACATGCCATTACTCAAATTCATGTTGAATGCTTTGTGTTTTCTTCTTTCCTTGTGGTTATCAGCATATATATATATATATATATATATATATATATATATATATATATATATTGATAAAATCACACGGGAAGAAGGGCAACGGAGCACCTTAGCTTTCGTCTTTATTCAAGACATCTTCAGAGGCAACTGGATTACATGGACAGAGAGAGGATTATTTATGAGTTTAGAATATGTTGTAGTATCACATACAGTTGTTATTGGCATCCTTAGTCCAATCACTATTTCTAATAAGGAGTGCCAATTTGTGGTCTATCTTGGCTTGAAGATCAGAACGCTCACGTCTCAGGTCAATAA